GCAAACAAATTTTGAAGAATTTATAAACCCAAATATACTAGCTGTTAATAAGGTAAGTGCAATATATCTAAAAAAAACATTATGAAAACGTAAATAAGAATTTAAACGGTTTTCGATTAAAATTGTCTTGTTCTTATGCGTATTCAACTCCCTTATTGTACTTAAGAACGCCATTAGTTTGATCAAAAAGTTTGACCTTTGTCAACACTATTATAAAAGGATTTAAGTACTGGATTGTCATTAAGTAGATATCACATTTATTAGATATAAAGGTGCGATCCGTAAACTAGTAGTTAATATAAATAAACTATAGTTTATTATAAAACTGTAGTTAACTGTAGTTTTAAAATAAACTACAGTTTATTTATATGTATTGTAATTCACAGTTCACATCTCTAATTAGATATATTAATTATTACCAAGAGATGGACAAAGTAATGTAAGAATAAAAATCGAAATATACAGTAATTCCAAAGATCTTTTCACTCCTTCAAACATTTTTTTTAATATTGATTTTATTTAGTTGCCTCAATATATACTTAGCAAAAACAATACTATTTAATTTGATTATACAATTAAAGATTTATTTTCATTCGCTTAAAACAATATGCTTCTTCAGCGCTTTGGTATTCGAATTTGCTATCTTTTATACCCTTTTTTTGTGAAATTCACAGATCGATATTAATTCTCTAACAACCGAGTCAATAAGTGATTTGCTCTTTATACTGAGTATAGTCCTGTTTAATTCTATATCATTGCAAACTAATTCTAATTTTTGAAGATTTGGTAAATTACTTTTGCTTTCTTTGAAAAGATTACCAGATAAAAATTTACTGTCAAAATTCCTAAACATGGAATAAAATTAATTAAGTCATAATTATCAAACTTAATTTTTTACAAAACTAGTTTTCTTAAGCTTTGAGGTTTTGCTGATATTTTGTGAATTGATGCATATTTGAGAATAGTTGATTTTTTTCTTGTTCATTTAGATAAGAAATATAAATAGAAATTATTTTTACGAATTTTTTGTTATACAAGCTAAAGGATTTGCCCAAAGTATAGGTACAGTTAAGCGACAAAATAAGTGGTTAACTAATAAACAGTTAAATAAAGTATGGTTTTCATATTTAAGAAATTTGATAATTTCAACATAGTATTCTTCTGTAGAGGTGCGATCCGTAAACTAGTAGTTAACTGTCATAGACAGAAATTCGTCTGATTGGCTATCTTCGTAGATCAATTTGTAGATCTACATGTGATTATTAGCCAATCAAATCACAAAGTTTGCAATTCGTTATTTTATAATATTACGGTACTCGAAACGAAAACTTCAAAGAAAAAATTCATATGAATCGGAAAATACGTATGATTTATTGGATTATATATATATAAAAGATAGATAGAAGTATATAGAGTAGGGCAAAAGTGGTGTTCACTACTAAAACAAAGCTCGAATCACCAACCCTACTATCTATAAACCCAGATTAATATCTATAGTTAATAAACCCGTACGCTTTAGCAAAACAAGTCAACGTAAGAATATCTTAAATATAAAGCCTAGATCTTTCACGCGAACAAGCTTACTTTGCTTCAAACACCTAACTTGAAATCTCAAACTTTAACAACTGTTTTGTTAATAACTACTTTTGTTTTTGTGCATTTTAAAATTTAAACATAGCCTTTTTTTCTTTACCTTTTGCAGAAAGTCGTGACTAAGCCAACACCTCTTAAATTAGAGATTATTAGAGATTATTTTTAAAGTTAGCTTTCTCACACCTTTTCGAAGCTAATGACAATATTTGTTAAGAATAGTTACTTGTGTAATGTTGCATTCTTAAAAAGTACTCTAAAACATATAAATAAGTTACCTGGGCAATTGATTTGCATTAGCCAATCAGATGAATTTCTGCCTATGAAGTTAACTGTAGTTTTAAAATAAACTATAATTTATAGTTCGCATCTCTATTTTTCTGATAAATTCTTTTAGCATTTATCGATGATATCAAAAAATATATTGATATTGCACTTTGTAAAAAATCAGTTGAAAAAATTAATACGCTAACCAATTAAATAGTTTCTTGTAATATTAATTAAGAAATATGTTGGTCCTCACATCACTAACAATTAAATGTTCAATTTGCTCAAAAAAAATATGAAGTAATTTTAAAAACTGTCGATTTGATGATTCTTGCATAATTAAATCTATGAGTAACATAAAATTTACATAATTTAAAGAATTTTAAACAATATTAGAATCTCTCTCATAAATGTAATTACTGTGATTAAAATAAATTGATTTTTTTTTGGTTGAAATACGTGAAGCAACAATAAAAGAGTAAACAATTCATTAACATGAAGAATATAAATTTCGGGTTATTCAGCTAAATTAAATTATTAATAACATAATCACAATCATATTGCATTATTTAATTTTATTGTACTGTATTTGTAAAAATACTTTGATACGTCCTCTGAATTTCATTCCAAGTATTTGCGTAAACTGGGGTTTAAATATATTAGCAAAAAATAATAGAGTTTAAATTCTTTATTAGTTCAGAATTTTAAGCCGAACAATTAAAGAAATCATAACAAATAATTATATTTCAATTATCAGGAACAAAAAAAATCTAATTCACTTTTTAAATTATTATATTTCAATATAATAAAAGTTTTCATTTATTATTATTTTTATTTTTTAATAAAATTTGGTTTTTGTATTTGTAACAAATCTATTTTTTGTTTGAGACAATTCCTGCCCATATTATCATTATTCAATTGTGATAACAATTGAAAGCTTATAATATTAAAAAAAGTACAGTACATTTATGACTTTATTCAATGACTTGATTCAATACAACTTTATAGCGATTGAAAAAAGGTAAATATAATTGTTTTTCTATATTAATTACAAAAATTTTAATGAAATAACACTTAAAGTGAATACTGCATTTCAGTAATCGTTATATATTAAGCAAGAAAATGCTAATGTAAAATTTAAAGATTAAATATAAAATGAAACTTTCACACAAATAACAGTAGTAATATACATAAATTAGATTCATGGAACAGAAAAAATCTAGCATAAAACTTATTGTAGAGTCAAATTTTGCAAACAAAGAGTGTAAAGAATTAATTCAAATTGCAGCAAACAGTGAAAAAAAAATAGAAATATTAGAAGAAAAAAAAATATATGTTTCTAATAAGTTAACAGAAGCTCTTAGTGTTAAAACATATTTTACTCCATTACGGCAATTAAGTTATAATGCAGATTTAACAGTCTTACAGGAAAAAATTAATGCATTAAAAAATTATAAAGAACTACAAAATAAGTTTAAAGAATTAACTGATGACAATAAAAAATTGAAATTATATGGGCAAAACAATAAATTATATGTGCAAAACAAATCAAGATTCTTTTCAAAGTCTAAAGATGATGAACTTAAAGTGAAAAAAAATCTATTTGTGAAGCATATAAGAAAATTTATTGAGATTCTTAATAAAGAAACAGTACATACAGGACTTTCAATCGATCAGAAGACTAAAAAAAGTGATGCAAACGAGAGAATTGTTGAGTTTAAACTAAAAGAAATCTTGAATAACTTTGGAAAAGAAAGATTAGCAAAAGATCAAGATGTTGCTTGGTTAATGAGAGAGACAAAGTTTGCACATAAAAAAAAAACTGAGTTAATTCAAATTGCAACTAAATATAAAGAAAAATTAGACCTATTAGAGAAAGAAGTAAACTATGTTATCGATACATTAAGGAAAGGTATTAAAGCTAAAATAAATTCTGATTTGGAAAAG